TACAGAGATACAAGCTTGTCCACTGCAAGATCCCCATTTTCCTCCAGCAATCCTCTTCACAACCGACTATATCATCACCAATAACTCAAATATTAGGACTTTTGTGATCAGAAGTTTCTGTTGCAATCAATCGCGAGGTAAGAAAAACAGAGCAAACCGCAGACCTTGATGTTCTTTGAAATGGTGTGATGATCAACAATAGTGGGACATTTTCCACCAAGCTCCAATGTCACAGGAGTCAGATGCTGTGCTGCTGCAGCCATTATGATCCTTCCAATCTTGGGACTCCCTACAAGCAAACAACATCAACATCATCACACAAATTCCGCTACAAGCAAGTCATCGAGTGTAGAGGGGTGAATAGATTGATACCGGTGAAGAAGATCTTGTCCCACTGATGCTGCAAGAGGATAGTGGCAACATCAGGTCCTCCTTCGATAACTTTGATGGCTTTAGTATCGAGATAAGCTGGGATTGTCTTCGCAAGGAAGGCAGATGCGTTAGGGCTTAGTTCAGATGACTTGAGAAGCACGGTATTCCCTGCTGCTATTGCCCCGATCAATGGATCCAGAGACAAAGCTGATAAAAAACAATTTTAAAAATCTCAAAATTGTAACTCTTTTTCTTTTAAAAAATAAACTAATTCAAGATCCGAATCTTACAGATAGGAAAATTCCAGCTAGACAGAACAAGAACCGTCCCATACGGTTCCGATATCACTTTCCCTTTTGCTGGGTAGAACAACAGAGGAAGGTTGCTCTGTTTTTTCACAACCAAAAAAAAAAAAACAATTATCCAACCAAATAAAATGATTTTAATCTTGCAAATTTCTTGATAATCGAATCTCCTAAACCTAACCCGATATTCAGACTAATTCCATAATTGTATATGCTTAGTGTTGGTTCTTACATGTTTGGGGACGGCCCATTTATCAAGAGAGTTGATTGCAACAGTAGCTGATCGCAAGACAACACCAAGCTCATCTCTAAAAGCTTCAGTACTGTGTTTACCCAAATCTTGAAACAGAGCACTACAGATCTTGTCTTCGTTGTCTTTAACCATCTCATATATAGCTCCGATCTGTGCCTTCCTCCACTTCAGACTCCTCGTCCTCCCACTTGCAAACGTCTCTCTCATCTCTCTCAAGCTCTCCTCCACAGTCTCCTTCATACCTTCCATGGCTCCTCTCTCTGACTAACTCTGTTCAGAAGCAGAGTTTGCTTATAAAAAGCGCTATCTTGTTTCACTTGGTTGCCTCTTTTAGAGCTAGAGTGTTTCTATTTCAAGTTATAATTTATAACCACTTATAGGGTGATGGTTAAAAGTGGAAAATGAAACTAGTTGGGGAATGATAAGGTAAAAATATTAAATGTGTTTGCTGTCTTACTTTTGAAGATCGTTATCAAGAAGATGGGAGTCCATATCGTTGAATTCAATGTTGCAATTGATAGATTTTCATTAGTTCACATGTTAGATATTTTCAAGAAATACTTTATATTATGTGACGTTATACGAATCGGTGACATTTATTGATGTGTCTCTATTCATTGTCTCACCTAACATAGTCCGGAACGTCTGGCTACTGGCACCGGGCATTAAATGCTTCGCGGTACCAAATATCAAATTCTTATGTACAGTAAATATATATTTTTTGTCAACTATCAAATTCACATCTATATATATATTTTTTTTTCTAATATGCTTTTATGTCGAACCATACGCCAACACATCACCACACATGCAGACTATTTTAATGTTTCGCTAACTCCACGAACTATTGGTATTACATACGGACATCTCCGAACTATCATCGGTTATGTGTGCAACACCATAACCATCATTTTCAGATAATATAAATGTCTTGTTAACTACACGAAGTATTTTTTTTTTTGTCAACTACACGAAGTATTTTCCATCAATTTTTTTTTAAAAAGTAATTAAAAAATAAAAAAATAACTAAAAAGTAAATATTACACTATTATAAATTATATATATATATATTATAACTTTTAATGCATTATACTTTTAAGTTAAATTAATTTAACTAATTTAATATTTATTATATTAAATTGTTAAAATTTTAAAATAGTCACTTAGTTAAATTATACATCACTATAAGTTAAATAAAACTAAATAATATATCAATGTAAATTATATACCATAACCATCATTTCCAGATAATAAAAATGTATTGTTAACTACACGAAATATTTCCATCATTTTTTAAAAACTAAATTACAAAATGAAAAAATAACTAAAAGTAAATAATACACTATTGTTAATTATATATATGCATTATAACTTTTAAAGTTTAAATTCTACATATGCAGTATCCCTTATAATTTTAAGTTAAATTAATTAACTATTTTTTAATGCACACATATATTTTATATGAAATTAATTTAACTAAATTTTTAAAAGTGTCACTTAATTAAATTATAATTTACATTGATATATGTGTGCATTATAATTTACATTGATATATTATATAGTTTTATTTAACTTATTAGTTTTAAAAAAATTTTGATGAAAATACTTCGTGTAGTTGACAAAAAAAGGAAATACTTTGTGTAGTTAACAAGACATTTATATTATTTGGAAATGATGGTTATGGTGTTGCACACATAACCGATGATAGTTCAGGGATGTCCGTATGTAATACCAATAGTTCGTGTAGTTAGCGAAACATTAAAATAGTCTGCATGTGTGGTGATGTGTTGGCGTATAGTTCGTGTAGCTGGCAATGATTTTTCCATAAACTAGAGTATAGATGATGTAATGTGGAGTGAATTTAAATTACAGATATGGTTGGGAAGTTCAATAAAAGTTTGTGGATTGAAACGTGAATAGTACTACTACTTTGAATTATATTACAGCCTTACAGGTTGTCTTAGTGAACCGTATTTCGGGACCAATAGTAGATCTGTAATTATCTTTCTGTAGGAAATAGTTGGGAAAATAGTCCAAATAACTAAAACCTGATATGGAATAACAAAATCCAAGATATTGATATTTATGGAGAAAATGATATATTGGTTTCAAACTTTCAACTGTATTTTTTTTTTCCATCCGAGGGTTCAGGACTTGACCAAACCAAAGTTTACGAGATCATTGTGAACACAAAAAAAAAAAATATATATATCGATCATTATTTCATATAGCATATTATTGTCTATTTTGTACGCGGTTACTTCTCTGCCAACATACATCGCAGTCAAGAACACTCTACTTTTGACTAAATTGCATTAAGCCCATGCGGCCCATTGGGCATGTAAATATAACAGTGACTTTACCAGTTTAGCATGTAAAAAGAATCGATAGAGCAGTAAGAGAGTTCAACAGGGGTGTTCCGAGAATCGAACTCGGGACCTCTCGCACCCGAAGCGAGAATCATACCACTAGACCAAACACCCAATTGTTTGAAATGTTGTAAAGGTATTTTATAATCAAAACGCAAGTTTGTGTAATTTACTAGTATTTAGGTATATGTGTAATTTGTATATATGTTTATGCTGCTGGTAAACTTTAGTAGCAAAATTGTATGCGTTTGTACTTTCGAATAAAATGGTTCAATTTTTGTTATTCTCTTTGTTATTTTTTCTCACTAATTAAGGTTATGGTATATTTTGTGAGAATTTTTTTTTTGCTAATATATGAGTGCTTTAGTATTCACAATCAAGTTCAAGCTATACTGTATACATATGAGATTGTTATGCTTCTCTAGATGATTTATACACATTCATCTTACATTCCGAGTGTGTCTCTCATTATAAGAGATTTTCTTTACTTTTTATTGGTTTTATGATGTTTTTCGTGAAATGTATCATGAGCAATGTTTTCTAATGGAAATAATTGTCTAAAAAAGTAAGAAAAAAAAAAAAGAGAGAGATTTAACCATGAGCAATGTTTTCACGCGCTCATCATGTCATGGTCACTATTTCCATTCTTGAAATTAAAGAAGAATTAAATAATAGGCCCTGAAATAATAACGTTTTTGTTTGTTTTGGTCCCAATTTCATTTTTCACATTGGGCCTTCCACCGACGGTCGAGTGGGCCCGCTAAGCCTGACTTTATAGTCCATATTTTCCAATCATTACTCTCGACGTACGAATTATTAGTTTTTTTTTTTTTGTAATTTTCCGTAAGACCATCAAAATACTGATACAACTGAATTCTTTTTTGTGCTGCTAGTTTCTTTTTACGTTAACAAAAAAATCTCCTTTACAAGAAAAATAGCTTTATATATAGGGAAAGACGGAAAGTTGTATTGCCGACGATATTTTTGGCCTAGTAACACTTCCAACGGTCATGATTAATTAGGGTGAGGTGAGCCATTAGATCGTAAGAATACCACTATATTTTTAACCTTTTAATTAATTTCCATTATTTTCATTTTTTCTTGCATTAAAAAAAAAAACTTCCAACTTTATACCTTCAAAATAATTTTTACTTTTTTGACAGCTTAAAACCTCCAACTTTATATTCAAGTTTAAAAAAAAAAAATGAAAGTTATGTTTATCACGGATTGATGCGTATATGTTATGGTTTCAAAGATTACGTACCACAATTGACAAAACTAGTTATGAATGACTTACATATTTGATAGTAAAAGTACTTAAAAAAACTTGCAAACACCATTGAAAAAAAAAAGGACTTGCAAGCTATGGGCAAGTGGTTAAGTCATAAGTGATAGTCATTTAATATTACAAACTTAAAATTTGGGATTAAGGACTCTAATAAATTGAATTGACTACATAGCTGTTATTGGGCCTTTTTGGTTGTAGCTGTAGCTTTAGATTTTAGTGATGTAGTATTTTTGCCGTAGAATTTAAAATTTCGGAAAGTTGAAAATTATATGCTTTAAAAAATAAGGTTTTCTACATCCAAAACTTGTTAATGAGACCCATTATCTCTATAAAAAAATCTACAGTTTAATAACATTTATTTATGAAGGAAACGTATACTTTCTAGTTTTCTCAATTTGTAATGTGAAATGCTGACATGGCAATTCGTGAACACAAATTCACAAAAACCTAAAACCCACTCTTGCTTACAAACCCAATCAGTTCTCTGTCCACTCTCCTCCACTCTCCTCCACTCTCTTGGCTCTCTCTTTCTCTCGATAGACACGTAATGAATTTAAAATTTTGAAAAACACAGAAAGAAATTTGTGTAAAAAATATTGGAATACGAACAAACTTTTTGAAATATGGATTCGCTCCTCCTATATTTAAAATAATTGTAGTGCTTTCATACGTACGTTCAAAGACAAAAATGGAGTGTGTAGAACTAGAAGCATTTCTCGGTGATTTTTCCGTCGACGATCTTCTCGACCTCTCTAACGCCGACACTGCTTTCGTACGTGAAGAGTCGTCTTCATCTCAAAGAGAAGAAGGCGAACAAGAACGTGAGAAAGCTAAGAGCTTTTCCGACCACAGTACCCGTCTTTCACCACTGGAGGAACTCTTATCTTTTCACGGCGACGTTCCAGTGAGCCCACTTGCGCACTCTGTTTCAACCTACCCTGTTTTACTCTGTTTTGCTCTGTTTTTGTTCTGTTTTTATCTCATTTATTGTTTTGTTTGTGAAGGTTGGTGATTTGGAGGACCTAGAGTGGTTATCCAACTTCGTGGAGGATTCTTTCTCAGAATCTCATCTTTCCAGTGATTTTCCGGTGACTCCAGTCGCGTCAGTGGAGGTTCAGAGACAGTGCGTTCCGGTTAAACCTAGAAGCAAACGCCGCCGCATCAACGGCCGTATCTGGTCTCTGGAGTCTCCATCTCGGCTGCTATCCACCGCCGCTGCCAAAGAGAAGAAGAGATGGAGACAGAAGGCGGAGGCATCTTGCGGTGGCGAAGTCCAGCAGCAACAGCCGAGGCGGTGCTGCAGCCATTGTGGAGTCCAGGAGACGCCTCAATGGAGAATGGGTCCATTAGGTGCGAAAACATTATGTAATGCTTGTGGGGTCCGGTTTAAGTCGGGTCGGCTTTTACCCGAATATAGACCCGCTTGTAGCCCAACATTCACCACCGAGATTCACTCGAACTCTCACCGGAAAGTGTTGGAGCTGCGACTCATGAAAACGGCGGATCCGGGTCGGGTTTAACCCGTTTTGTTTTTCTATCTTAACATTTTAACAATTTCTTATGCATGGTGTTAATCTTGTAAGCAGAGAATCAGAGAGGGATCCGTAGACTGCTTTCAGATTTATGAACTTAAGCTATAATTAGAGACAATTTTATTTTTATAGAATATGATTAGAAATCATAATCATTAAATCATAATCATTAAAAGTTCTTGTCAAATACAGTCCAACCATAACCCAAATTTTCGTGACCACAACACCAACATAATTAACGTTACGACGAGCCTCTCACACTCTTTTTCATTTAGGCCTTATTAAAAGGGTTTCCTTTTCAAAACAGCTTTAACTGAAGGGAAAGCGATGTTATTTTGAAAAGGCCAGTTAAAGGCAAATTTCAAAACAATAGTATGAGTTTTTGTTAATTCTGTTAACAACTTTTTTTTTTCATTTTTAACGCCGATTTTTTCAAACGTTTAATTTCTTAAGAATGTATTATATAATATTTTTGACTGGTTTAAATAATACAAAATCTGAAGAGAAAAATGTTTTGAAATCATAGGTTAGTCATAACTTAAGAAAATAGCACTTTTGGAATAGAACGTGTAAGGTGCATTAAATATTGTTTCCTGATTATGTGTACTGTGTAGCAATGATATCATTAAATATTTTTGTCGATCCTTATTTAACGGACACAACAAAAAACATGTCACATAAATCCATTTTAAGAAAACAACTTATTTTTTTAATACTTATGTAAACAATTATCTTATTAGTTTTAATCCTAATATCTAGAACTTTATACTATGTTACAATTATCTAGAATTTCTCCATACTAATATATATAGTTATTTGATCATAAAATTATCTAGAAGAGTTCAAGGATACTAATGCAAATCCTTAAATGAAATTAGTAGTGAGATAAATTATTATTTTTCTTCTTCTGATGATATTTATTTGTCGTATATTTAACTTTCCGTTAAATTTGATTAAAACACACCTACTGGGTCTTCACCAAATCTTTTGGTGGGGGAAGTGAAAGAATTGGGAAAATCATTGTAAATAACTCGCCAAATTTGGAAATAAGATCAGCGAGATCAAACAAAATCGGCATTAATATATTTATTATCTAGTTTTTCATTCGAAGCAGAATCTCCCAAGATATTACAAAACAGAAAGAAATCATATATTGTGGTCTTAGGCCATTGAAAAGGAAAAAACGAAGGAATTATTGTGTGTTTGTGTGGTGAAAAAGCATCGGCTTTAAGACATATCACTGCTCTGATTTAATTATGACTTTCCGTTGACTTTTTAGTACAACCGGGACTACCAACAACCGTATCCACCGGGTCCATCACCTCCCCATCCAAATCCAAATCCCCATC